TATTTTATTTATACATTTATATCCAATTGATATACCCATGTATTACTATTTTTCCTACCTGATATTATATAAATAAATAAAAAAAAAAACAACTATACAGTTTCTATTTACTTACTCTGCATACCTTTTAAATTTCTTAATTGCTAATTTACATTCAACAACAAACATTCTTAACAAATATAGCTTATTATTAATGAATCTCAACATCTCATTAAGATTACTAGTTTTAAATGTATTACTAATATTCATACATAATTTATTATAAATATTAATATTATATTCACTATTAAATATCATATTCAAAATATTGTTCTTAGCCAAACTATTTGTAAAAAAATTCTTATTCATTATATTGGTTTTGTGAAACAAAAAGTCAAACTTAGTTTTACAATTTCTACTAAAACTTTTTTTTATTCTTAACTTTACAACATTCACAATATTTGAAACATTCAATTACAACATCATATTCTTAACTTTATTAAACACCTTAACAATACTGAACTCCTTGGTACTAGTTTCTATATTCACCTTCAACAACTAAAAATAATCTTTAGTTCTCAACTAATATATTGTATAATTCTAATTCTCTAAATGATGGACCAAATAACAAATAACTAGTTTCAAAATTATTTAGCTCTTTTCTTATTTAAAGCTATCTATTATTCTAAACCTAATGTATAACATTCTATATATAGTCAATACTGAAACAATTATATTAGAATCAATAATATTATCACACTTCAAATATCTAACTTTTAAAAAACAATTCTATTAACATCATATTCTTTTTTTTAATCAACTTATTATCAATGACAATTCTTATCTCCTTGATTAAAAACATATTTCACCAAGAATTCATAAAATACCCAAAGACAGAAAGCCATTATGGTTTATAACTCTTAAAGATATCATAACAAATCACTTCTACTATTGAACTCTTTACTACTATTACTAATTCCCAAAAATCAATTATTTTAGCTACATTATAGAACATTTTTTAAAATATTTTAAACTATGACTTATCATTACACTCTAAGATCAAATAATTATAAATAAAGCCAGAAGACAACCAACTTCTTTTAGACAAATACTTATTACCTATTGGCATAGCAATATTGAGCTTCATGTTATACAACTATACCCAACACCTTCAATTATAACTAAACTATACACTGGTTATAATCTTAATTTTGATCTTATTATTTACAAATATATAACATTTATTCCTATTAATCTTGTAACTAAATTTATTAAAAAATTTAATATTTAAAATCAATAACTTAATGTAAATTATCTTGATTTACTCTACTCTATTGCTATTCAACATTTTATTCAAATTTCTAATGCTGCTAATATCTATATACTTGCATTACTTATTCTATCTGTTTTAAACAATATGGTGCACTAAGTCACTTATCATCAAATGTATCAAATTTGACTTGATATATTCTAAGTGTGCCAAATTTCAAATTTGATTAAATATATTCAAGATGTGACAAATTTAAATTTTGGATTTTGGTTAGATATTATGATCCTGATTTTTGGTAGTCACAGGTGCCTGAATCGAGGTAATGATGCTTACTGATCCAAGATCATATGAAAAGTAATGGTAATGTTACTTATAGTACTTATGTTGCTATTGCTACTTCACCTACATATTTGTTAAATAAAATATTAGCCTTTTATTACATTTAGTTAAGATATTAAGCATAAGGAATATATTGTATTTATGGCAGAAATTGATTATATATGTAAATAAGATGTTTATTATAAATAAAGAACATTTCTGCCTAGAGAAAGAAAAAGTTCCACATAACACAATTCTGAATCTCTAACAACACCTTCCATTATAACAATAAGTACCTAACTTCTAATAAAAACAAAAGTATTATCCTATACAAACTAATAAACTATCATTAATCCCATTGTTATACTTTTGCTCTTCTGTAAACCACCAAACCACAAGTTGATTGTTCACCATAAGTTACATGACCAAAAAAGCCATTAAACGAATAAAAGAGTTCCAACCCTGATTTGATATATAGTAATCCTGGGTTGAGGCATACAAAAGAAGACAAAAGAAGGCAAAGGTTAATAGAAGAATAAGTTGAAGAAAAGACTCTAAGAGGAGACCAATACTTACCTATGGAAAAACCATCAGCCAAATCTAACACATCTTCTTCAACTTAGCTGGCATAGGTTATGCAAAAGTTGGATTAGTTTAGTGACAGATTTGCCAATTTCTGAATTACAATATAAATTCTTGAAACCTGTGAGATTCCAAAGTAGACAATCAATAAATTCAAAATACAAGCATGTTCTCCAGAAAAAACTAGAAAATTTTTAAAGATTCATATAGGCTAGGTGCTAAGAAAAGGGGTAAAATTGACAAAAAAGACCTTTGGAAAATCAATAAGAAAATAAAATAAAATTTTAAGAAGCTATATTGCAAAATTGTATTAACACAATACTTTATGAAATTGTCAATTTTACCTCTTTTCTTAGCATCTAGCCCATATAAATAAATATATTTTTGTAAAATACAGTTGATCGCATAAACAAGTTTTTACAAGTAGTAAATTGTAGCATATATTATTTCGATTGCTTGTGCATAATTTTGATCATTTGTGCATTATTATGATATTATATGAAGTGCACATTGATGTTATTGCAAATCTATCTATTTTTAAAAGTGTAATTTTAAATTAAATGCAGCTGAGTTCTTACTAAATAATTATAACTATCCCAACACTATAATAGACCTAGGAAACCTAAATAATATATACCAACATATATAATGTTTTTTGTTTTATATATTATATCTCATCTTAACAATTTACTTTTTATAGGCTAAATACAATATAACAAAAGTTTAGATTTTTTTTTTTAGCATTACTTATTTAAACTTATATGAAGCAAATAATAAATATATAATTTCTATTCTTAATTTTACACTATTAGTATTTATTAACCTAACTCTAAATCAATTTCATTAGGTATATGTCTATAAGAACAAAACTTATGTACAGCATATTTTGCTACCTGGCCAGGAAGTCCACATCTATAAGCATCCATATAATGCTATGCCTTTTGTGCAAAACAACGTATAGTTGTAAGTAATACTGAATCAAGTGCTTTAGGTACAGTAACTTGTAATCCAAATTATAAATAATCACAATGCTCACATGAATAATGTTTTACAGCACTCCAGTATCATTCAATGAAATTTAATTCATAGTGATACTTAGGATAAAATATACAAACATGATCTCATTCAATAATAAGTTCCTTTAATGCTGATTTTTGCATAATAAAATTTGGCTGTGCAGACAAAAGGTGACACACACAACAATTAGGTATACTTGAATCATAATAGTTATTTTCACACTTTAATTTTAGGCCACTAGTAGGCCATAAGTTATACTCATAAAGTACTTGTTGAATACCTTTTAGTTGATTACGAAAAATATAATTAAAATCATTAGAAGAAAGATCTTTAAGAAAGATTATTGGCTAAGTAATTTGTTCGTCTTGCTCATTATTAAACTAACCATCATGTAATCTTGACTGTTTACTATTAGGATAAAGATTCATGTTTTTAGTACATAATGCATCACTTGCAAAAGCACTATGATTAGTGCTATTATCGAATGAAAAGACACCAATACAGTTTGGGTAAGTTGCTTCAAAAATAGAAATTGCTTTATTGGCTACTTGTGTAAGCAAGTCATAAGCATTTCACCAGCCATCATCATTTTTTCCAGGTTTGATAATAACATGAGCTTTTTGTAAAAATGCTAATGATAGGTTTAATTCATTTATTTTTGCAGAAATAATTATGAAGTGATCATGAGTCTTAGTTAAAAACTCTGAAATCATAAGTGCTTTACTCTTTTCTTTTTTGCATAGTGCAGCATACCAAGAGGAGCCCATACCAAAGAATGACTATTATTTGCATAGAATGTACACTCATCATGTGTAACAAGAATATGCATTTGTTTTTCTTTACTTATTTCAGGGTTAATAATTATTTCTATATTTTTATCAACAAATTGTAGCATTAAAGTTTCAAGATTTTTCATTTTTTCAAGAAATATTGTATAATATTATACAACATCAGAATGTTCATGCCAATCATAGTAACTATCTTGTTTATGTTATTGATATACAAGGCCAAGATGATGAAGCCAAGTTCGAGCTGTCTCTAATGACATTGAAGTACGAGAACTAGTAACATGTGGTAAAACATTGTTCTGAATATAATTCTGAAATTTTTTAGTAGTTATTCTTTTACCCAAAGTATAGATAAAATGCAAGCAAGAACTTTGTACATCCTCATCATCAATAAGAGTTGGTATGTATTTTTGTTGTCTTTGCTTAAAGACAAGTAAAGTTTCTGTTATAATCCAACTCTTTGACTATTTACAGATACAACATGCCATCTATAGACTATGTTAAAAAACTTGTTGTGATATTTCAAGATTTAGTTTTACATGTGAATGTAACTCTTTATGATTGAAGATTGCAGCAAGGTATTTATGCATAGCAAGAAGATGAAGATATTCATAAGCATTCATATTTTTCATGTCTTTGAAATTATTATTTAATTTATTTATTTTCTTTGAAATAGAACTGTTATTTTCTATATCTGAATCATTTATATCTGAGTATGACATTTCATATTTAACTTCTATTTTTTTTGCAGGTTTAAAAAAATTGTCCAAACTCATTAATTCTTGTGCCACCTCCTGTAATTCTTTATTTTTGCATTGCTAAGTACATTTTGAACTACCAGAATAATATAGTAACTGACCACCAGATGCTTTATTATCTCATTAAATATTATAAAATAAACTATTTTCATAAACTAACTGTTCAGCTTCTTCTTCACTAAGTTCTGTCTTACCATTATTAAATTTTTCCTCATTACTGCTCTCAGATTCATAGACCAAAAGTTCTGAATCACTATATTCTTTATTGTTATATTCTGAATCTGAACTAAAAATTTTTCATCATTATTTTTACTTTGTATAAGTATACGTTTTTTTGCAGCATTTTTGAGTTTTAATTTTGGCATTGTTAAAATTTATGAATATAGAATGTAATAAGATAATATTGTGAAAGTAAGATAATTAAAATCATGGCTTTTGTGAAAAAATATAGCTTTATATTAAGTTTCTACTATACATGATGTCAATGATAAAGACATAATTCACACTTATTTTTGTTTAAAAATTATATCAACTATGTATTTAGATTTATAAATTTGGATCAGTTTTTTTAAAAAGTCTTAGTATTTTGTTGTTAATAATATATAAAAATAAAAACTTGTAAATATTTACATTATCAAACTCAAAGAACCTAGATTATTATAAGATAAAATTTTTTTTTTATCAGTTCTTGAAACAACTAAAAGTGAAAACTGTTATTACTGCAAAATTAGTTTCAGTAGTTAATAAGGCAGAAATTCTATAATCAATTTACATGTTTTTTTTGCTTATTAATCTAATTATACTGTTGTGTTTGGATAACTGTGACTTGGTCACTCTATGATCCAAAATCTCATGTAATGCGCAGTAAGTAACCTTTACGAAAGAGGGTGTTAGATTTGGATAGTAGGTAATTAAGGCTTTCAGTTACTTTGGATCAATAAAGGCAAGCAGGGCAAGTCACATGATAAAGGGTTTGAACGAACAACAGTAATTATAGGAGTTTACACAGGGTTGGTAATAGTAATAGTATTAGTGTTTATTATGTACAATGTAATGTATTGGGGGACTTGTTATTTTTAATAAAGCAAACGAAGTATACTTGCTCCTAAGGGCCATTTCAGCCTTTATTTATAATATTAATTTTTATCACTTACATATGCGACTTTATATTTACTATGCCTTAAAACTATTTAATGCTATAATTGTTTATTTAATTTTCTTAGTAATGTTTAATTTGTGCATATATCCTTGCTTTATTTCTTATCTACTCCTTTGAATATGAAATACTGTTTCTGATCACAAATGTAACTTATTGCACTATTGCATTTCATGCATTTTTCATATAATCAGTCATGATATTCTGGTTTCACAATACCTACAGGTAATATAGTTGCACTGCTATTATATACTATTGAATCATATAAGATAGAAAATTATTAAGATATAAAACATTCAGGCAAATTAAAGCTTAAAATTTATATTTTTATGCTAAAAAAATACTAGCATTACAATACTGATATGTACAGCAATATTGAGAAGTAAAACTCTTAAATTTTTTATAATTTGATGATCCTTTTTAGGAAATATATTAAATAAACCTGAATTAATCTGGTTGGTTATAATTAAATTTGGTTAAATGGTTTTACATTCTTAACTAATATGCATTATCTTTATGTAGCAATAGTTTTTAACTTTTCATCCTCTGTAATGCCTATACCCATATTATATTGTAGGAGTCCAACATTAAAGTTTTCCATCAGGAGAACTATGTTTAGCAGATTTTAAATGTAAATCGAATGCTTTCTTTTTATTCTTCACAGTGCCAATGTCTTCTTTATAACAAGACTAAAATTACATTGTCCACTAGGGTGACCACCTTCGCAAATATTAAATATCATTTGAATGCTTTCTAGAAGTACCCACTTTTGTAACAATATTCAAGAGAATTTTATCCTATTGTGTTACTACCTTCTGTCTTTCTTTGGAAGTATATATACATAATGCTATTGTTACATAGTCTAACATTACACTGCCTATAAAATTTTTCAGCAGATTTTAAGTTAACTCAAAATGTCTAGATGCATAGCAATATAAATAGTTTCCTAATTAATGAAGTTCTAACTCTATAAAATATGTATCAAAGTCAAATTTTAATCAAAACTCATACCACATATAATAAGCATTCTTTACAGCCTTATTATTTCAAGCAAAAGGTGCAGATTAAAAAAAAAACACAAATTAATTAAATAATTGTAATTATCTATAGCATTAAATCAACTTTGTTAAATTGTTAAATTAGTATCACCTAAAAATTTTACAATAAATATTTAATCTAAATGTAAAAACATATGTATATATTAAAACCCTATTGTCACAAGGGTTAATAGTAGTCACAGCTACTAACATCTATCTCAAAGATGAAGCAACATGCAGATTAAAGACCACCAGGGCTGTATTGGGTAAGTATCTCAGTATATAATGTTTAAAGTATATTATTTGAGTGAAAAGCACTTCTGATCTCTTTTACTTTATTTTTTACTTTACTTATACTTACTTTGACTATTTTAATTACATTATTTTTTGATCACACATATTAAACTTTTAATTAATTTACTAATCACACTGTTTTTTTACAAACTCTTACATTTTTTATGCTTTAATTATTAATTTACACATTATTAACTTATCTAATTTTTATGATACTAATCTATTACTAATTTATTTCTTTATGCCTGATCCTATGATCCAACCTATATTGATGATCACATGAGCATGTGGCATCTTGTTTGCTTTGCTTCGAAGTCTTCCCTATTATTTAATACTTTTTTTTTTTTTATAATATACCTGACTTATATCCTGGACAAGTGCACTATGTATTGCACTATCCTGTTACACTATATTAACAAGAAAAAAAAAACTTATAAAACTGATTTTTGAGTAAACTGATCAAACTGATTAAATATAGTCTTGAGAATTAATTTATCTTTGCCAATTTTATGTAAATCGCATATGTAATGCCAATTTCTATAAAAACTATATATAATAACATGGTGCCAATTCTATAAATTACATAATGAATTATATAAAATTTCTAAACTTTAGCTGCTTATAACTTGAATGTTTAGGTTTTTAAAAAAATTTTAATAAAAAATAATAGTTTTTATTGGTTATATTTTGAAAAAATATTTAAAACTTAAGATTTTATAGATTTTCAAAAAATACATAATTTTTGATGAGAAGTGACTTGATGCACTATAGTAATCTTATCAACACTCTGAAATCAATTGCTAATTCAAACTACAACAAGTCTGAACTTCATTTCTATATTGATGAATCAGTCATTTAAATAGGCACATTCCAATGCTCAATAGGAATTGGATTGGTCTTGATACAAAATGACAACATCTTATATACTTTTTAAATACAAACTAAGTTCTGGCCATGCTTCTTTAAAACAGAAATTACTACAATTCTTTCTGCTATTATTACTGTACCTAGAAACTTTACAATTATATCTATACTAATTCACAATCTGCTATATCCAAATACAACAGTACCAATTTAACATCACTCAAATTATTATTTATTTATGCTTTATATTATTCACTTTGGTATACTTTAATTAACTTTACAAACTCTTATAATATACAACTTATTCTGCATAAAATAGCTGTACACCAAAATAATAAATTTAATAACCTTGTTAACAACCTTATTCATAATTATTTTAATCTTCCATACTTACTATTTAACTCACAAAATTATTATAATTCTAACTATACACTTCAACTAAATATCTACTCTATTAAACTACTCATCTATTATTGCATCTATATAATTTATCATGTTCATATCTATGTATTATGGTCATCTCAATATCACTTTTAAAAATGTTTATAAATTGTAACTCAAACTAATTAAAAAGCCACCTGCCTCTATATTAATAATAATTGAAAAATAACAAACTACTTTCATAGTTTTCAAACATCTTAACTTAAGTCTTTTCATATAAAGATCCTTATAAATTACCTTCCAACTCAATATAATTTATATAAACATAACTATACCAATCTCTTAACTGTTACCAATATAATCAAATTAGTACTCTACTTCATTAAACTATTTGCTCATCCTTATATCTCCTTAACAATCTCATTGATAACTTATTTAAACATGTTTTTAATATACTACTTTTGATACAATATTAAGAACTATATCTAATTTACACAACTAAATCAAAAATTTTAATTGTATGCAAAACTATAATATACTAAATTCACTCTCTCTGACATCAATACTGTCTGGTCTAATTTCTTATAAATTAATTGATTTAATTAAAGATATCACTTTATCTGTTAAAACTGCTATTACACTTTCAATTAAGCTTCTGCTTCATCTTAACTAACAAATTTATGCCCAAATCTGAATACCATATTGTGCTTCTAGGCCTCAATCTAGTAAACAATCTCAATCAATTTTAATATTTTATACTTTTCAAAACTTACTAATACAACATGCATTACACTTAGTTACTAGTTTTAAAATTGAAATATAGTATTCTAAATAAATTAAATACCAATTGAACCTTCTCATTATAATTACAAACTTTGAACTCTAGGTGAGCCTTAGCCATTTTGATAGGTTTTTGTTACAGATAACTTGTCTGAGCATCTAATCTTACTATCTTATAGACATAGAATTCAAATATAAATTTTTTCTATATATTTTACTTGTAAAAAAGTTTAACTAAGTTTTAATAAAAATAGAGACATGGCCTCACTGTTAATATTAAAAAAAAAACAAATATGCTCTATATATATATTTTTTGATTTTAAGATGATCTCTTTAGTCTTTTGACTTTTATTAATAACTTTTTTGATAATGTGATTTAATAAACTATTACAAAAGAGTATACAATTGGTTACAAATATAACTTTTCTATATTATCTATTTAAGGAGTCTGTTTAAAAATTCCCTACCAATTGGTATATCTAACATCTCTGCTTGGGTAGTCTACTTTAAACCCTCTGAACCTGTAATTTGTATTAATATCATTAGGTTATACTCAGATACACAGATTATTGTCTTAATCTTAGAACTATTTTTACCTTAAGGTAAACCTTTTAGAGCATTCTTTATTTATTTTTACAGTTGATCTGATATTACTATAACAGAACCAATACTTGTAATTAGAGTTATATTATTTAACTGCTATGCTTTTATAGAATTCACTCGAACCTCAATATTTACTTCATAGCATAACCTTAGTACTTTAGTATACTTATGTCTTTTTATTAAACTTCTAATTCAAATAGTCTATATAAGACTACAACTAGTTTATTAGTATATTATATTAGTTCAATAT